AATAGCGAAAGTCTAAAAGAATAAACAAGGAACGTGTTGTCTAAAGCCTTCGCCGTCATTGGCATCACCGGCGGCGCAATGATCGCCACCATCGTAACCATGATCACGGACGTCACCATCATGACCAGATTCAGCGGGATCACCACCACCGTCACCGTCGCCACGATCGGCACTCTTATCGTTTCTATCAACGTCGTCATCGTCGTCATCATGGTGGTTCTCGACCAGAGCAGGGTCCCCCCATCCCCACCCATGGGACCTTCGTAACGCCTACGGTCATTTTTGGTTGTCTAAACTGGGGCTTATGGTGGTTGTTGCTACGGACGTCAAGAGGCTAGAAATGAGGGGTGCCGCTACACAGCCTACAGTACACAGGGCAGCCCGGCCCCCACCACTTCAATAACGATCTGACCCTAAATATGGACAGAGCTGAGGTTGAGACACTCTGGTCCACTCTGCCGAGAATGTGGCTACTCCCTTCGTCCCTCGAGATGTGTGTTTAACCCTCACATCACCCTTCGGGGCAGGGGTGACCCTTCACGTCCTCTACGTGGGGCTGGGAAGACCCGAGAGGACACAGGATCTGCTCAAGGTCGTCCAGCCAGGTAGAGGCAGAGCCGGAATTTGAATCCAGATGTTAATCATCTCTCCATCCAACGCCTTCCCGCAGCATGGCTGACCTCTGCCGCCTGTTTCCCCAAACTCAACAGCTTTGTAAACACAAAGAAACCGCCAGGATGGAGAAAAGCCCTGGATGAAGCCCTGTTGCTACTTTCGAGGCACGGCTGACTCTAAACCCTCCCTCTCTCCCTCTGCCTCGCTCCTGGTCCTCAAGACCGATGTGTCTGGCCCAGATGCTCCCTGACAGCCCAGTTCCTGGCTTTTCCCTTCCCCCTCTGGCTCTGCCTTTCCCTCCTGGGTCCGAGTCTCCAAGCCATGGCCCACCCTTGACGCAGGGCAACGAGCCCCTGATGGAGAAATGGCTGACCGGCACGTAGACCAGGATTCCGCAGAGGTAGACACCTCCCAGGACAGTCGCCACGGCGAAGAACACAGCCAAGGGTCCTGCGATGTAGAAGCCTCTCCTAAGAACAGGGACGTGCCTGGAAGGAGAGGGTAGGTGGGCGTTAGGACCGTCCTTCTCACCCCTTCATCCATCTCTTCATCTACTCGTTTGTTCTTCAAGGAGTTATCGGCGCCTGCTACATGCAAAGCGCTGTCCCAGGTAGCAGGCATTCAACGGGGAACCAAGGTCACTTCCTGCCCTCGTGGGGCTGGCATTCCAGGTGAGAAGCAGACAGCCAACAATGAAGCGAGGAGCTGACTCACGTCACTAACCCTAACCCTGACCCTAACGAGTGCTCTGGAGAACAGACTGACATGCGGGGACAGAGAGCGGCAGGTCAGAGGGCTGCTGGTGTCACAGGGTCATTAACGCATTGCAGGGGCGTTCCACTGTGCACCAACTGTGCGTCTGCCAGGCCCCGTGGTACAGCACTGGGGACAAATGACAGTCAAAGAGCTCACCCAACCTCTGCCCCCCGGAGTTTAGAGTGCAGTGGAGTGGGAAGGCCTGAGTCAGATAGTAACACAAACGCGTCGTGTTCGGCGCATAGTAGGTGCTTCGTCAGCAGTGCGCGGGGACCAGAATGACGCCTCCGGCCCACATTCGCTGTGTGCTCACGGCTCTCTGGGAAGAGCCAGGCCGATGGCTCCTGTTGAACTTTCTCTCTCAGCGTCGGACTTGGTTCTCACAGCGACCCGGTGACGTAGGGACCTTGGTTATCCCCACACGACAGATGGGGAAGCGGGAGCTCGGAGAGGTGAAGCTGCCCTCCCCGGCTTGTGCCGCTGGCCAGAGGCAGAGCCGGGATCTGGACTCGGGTCGCCGGGTTCCAGCATCCCCGCTCGTCACCGCCCTGCGTGTCTGAGCCCGTCGGTCTCTCTCCGTCGATGAAAACGGCGTTTTCGCCATTTACGGATTCAGCCCCAAATCACGTTTCTCACACCACGTCCACGGCAGAGCTCTACCTTCTCTGGGCCACTTCCCCTTCCTCTTCCCACTTCCTTATCTCGGAGACGGCCCAGCATGACCGCTGCGGGCAGAGGCCGTGTGGTCTGACCGGACTCCCGGGGCGTGAACTCTGCCTCCTCTGCTGATTAGAACTGGAACCTGGAATAGAGCACCCCACCCCGAGCACCGGTGTCCTCACCTGTGGAATGGGGGCGACGCTCCCAACAGAGAGAGACTGCGAGGGTCGTGCGGGTTGGAATGGGGGCTGGCGCTCAGTAAGTGCTCGTCAAGTGTTGGCTGATCTTGTCTCGCAGATCTCTGAGCTCAGGACTCTGGGGACTTCCTGGAGGGGGCAGCTTTGGGCTCAGACCTCAAGGGGATGGGAGGGTTCCACCCAACCACTGTGAGGACGGAGTGTGAGCTGGAGACAGCAGTCCTGGTGACAGGTGCCACCCAGGCCGAGGCGTGGAGGTGGGGACACTGGGAGAGGGTAAGCCCCAGAGGGGAAGCGGCTGCACTTACGGGGCCTCTGGACCTCGACGTCCCTGTACATGGAGAGCTGGGCCACGGGGTTCTCCACGACGCACCTGTATCTGCCCATCTGCTCCCAGGCCAGACTCGGCAGCGTGATGTTTGCCTCTGAAAAGCTCAAGAGGGAGCCGTGGTGGACCCAGCGGTACTTGGGTCCCGGGAGGGAGGTGGAGACACACTCCAGCCGCACCCGGGTGCCGATCTCGGCAGACACGATGCCTCTGATGTGGTGGGGGTCAGTCCGCAGCAGCACGCTGTCCGGCCCATCTGCAGACAGGACGGGAGCCCGGGGCCCACATCTCGTCTCGTTCCCTCGAGCCTCACAGAGTCCTCCCCCGGTCCGGAGGTGCCCCACTCCGCACCCAGAGCGGACCCCCTAGATTCCCCCCGGCGGGCAAGGCAGCCGTGGTGACAACGACGGCACCTCCTGTGTGCCAGCTCCGTGGCGGCCGTTCACGTCATGATGACATAGGGATAGACCAGAAGCAACTGCGTCAGGCCCACGGCGTTTCGGGCGCTGCCTCAAATACCTTCCAGGTTTTCACGCACTTGCATAATTCCCACAGCGGCCCGTGCGATCAGTTCCACTATTGATCTGTGTTACGGCTGAGGGAAGCGAGGCTCGGAGGAGAAGACCGAGGACTCGCGGCCTCCATGGACCCACGAATGGGCCAAGCAAGTCCCCCTATGGCCAGGAGGAATCTTTCTGAACAGCTGTAGCCCCGGGTCCCGGGTCTAACCTCCGGCCAGTAAGCAGTGTACGGAGGTCGTCTCTGTGACAGCCTTGCCGTCATGTCTTCGATCGACAAGACCCATCCGAGAATTTGAGAAGGTCTTGCCAGGAGGCAAACCTGGCCTTGGTGGGCCGCCAGAGAGGTCTAAAGAGAAGAGAATGTGTGGCATGCAGAACTTAGTTTTTTCGATCGAACTGTCTGCTCAAGGGCGTGTAGACAGTTCCATCCGAGCGAAGGACGAAGGGGAGGTGACAGCGCTAAGTCAGAAAACCAGAGATGAGAGACCCAGGAGCCGAACTGGAAAACCCAAGGCAGGCGGGGTCTTGAAAACTCGACCCATTAAATGTCAATCTAAGCAACGATCGGTTGCGAGCTGCCCCCTCTTTCCACAGAGTCCCATTTCTAATCTGAGAAGCAGGGGTTAGGGCATGTCCCAGGTCCAAAGAGCCAAATAGCCAGAGCTGGGGATCATTTCTAATCTGAGAAGCAGGGGTTAGGGCATGTCCTAGAGAGCCAAATAGCCAGAGCTGGGGATTGAGCCCAGATCAAGCTGGCCGCAGGCTGGCTCAGGATGCTCCCTCTCTCCGGTTCTGCGTGTGTCACCCCCACGCCCTTGGATGACTCTGGGCCCACCCCTGGCTCCACACCCGTCACCCCAGACCACTCACAGGCCACCGTCAGAGAGATCTGTTCACTCCTTTGAAGAAGCCCGAAGATGTTTTTAATCGCACACTGAAGCACTCTGTCATCGCGGCCGACCCTGTGGATGACGAGCATCTTGCCGTCTGGGGAAATTGTCATCCGGTCATTGCTGGTCACCAGTAAGGCGTTCACATACCACTCGACATCAGCGGCGTCGGTGTGGCAGAAGGCGGCCACGGAATCCATGTACGGTACCACGGAGCTGCTGCTGACCGAGATGCCTGGGTTGCTTTCCAACTCTGCGGGAAGCAGGGAAGGGTGAGAGGTGGGGTCTGGCCCCCCAAGCTCCACTCATCTCCTCCTCCCCAACCCGGGTCACATGGTCCCTCGCCGCTGCAGCAGCCTCCGGGCCCCCCCTCGCCCCGTCCCCACCACTCTGGGTTACTGCAGCGTGGGCACAGATCCGCATCTCGCAGTGACGTGAGCTCTAGGAAGACTGTCTCAGTCCTGCTGTGACCCCAGCACCCCTGGGCACAGGGTGGAACCCAGTGGGAGCCCTGGGCATGATTATCTGGGTGGATAAAACTCTCCCGTCGACACGTGCCTTTGATTCGGGGTCTAAATTCAGTGGCGTGGAAGTGCAGGGGGGTGTGGGGGTGGGTTTTTTTTTAGAGTGGGGGGGTGTGGGGGATGGGGATCTGCTGCCACGTCTGCAAACCCCCAACCTCAGCTCAGTTCCACAGAGGAAGCACAGACACCTGAGATCCTCAGGTCCGGGCCACCAGGTGTGGACACTGGGGGTGTTCGAGCCCAGGATGCACGGCTGCCAGTGAGACATGATAGTTGTGTGTGTCGGGGACCCGGAGGAGCTTAGGGGGAAGTGAGGAGTTGGGAAGGGGTCGTGCTGGAGAGGTGGGGGAGGGGATCAAGGCAGATAGGTGACCCAGGGAACCTTCTGTGCGTGCGTGTGTGTGCGTGTGCGTGCGTGTGCGTGTCTGTGTGCGTGTGCGTGCGTGTGCGTGTGCGTGTGTGTGCGTGTGTGTGTGCGTGTGTGTGCATGTGTGTGTGTCTGGGTGAGGTGTGCCCGTGTGTGTGTGTGTGTGAACAGGGCCGATTCCGTCTCCTCGGGGACCCCAAGAACGACAACTGCTCCCTGGGCATCAGAGATGCGCGGAGAAACGACTCGGACACCTACTTCTTTAGAGTGGAGAGAGGGTCTAAACTGCGTGTGTGTGCGCGCGCGTGTGTGTGCGTGTGCATGTGTGTGTGTGCGTGCGTGTGTGTGTCTGGGTGAGGTGTGCCCATGAGTGCGTGTGCGTGTGCGTGTGTGTGCGTGTGTGTGTCTGGGTGAGGTGTGCCCATGTGTGTGAGCTCGCGAAAGTCCTGGTGAGGGTCCTTGTCCCCGTCACCTCCACACCTCCCGTCCTGCAAGGTCATCTCTCTCTTACCCACAAGGACCAGTTCCCTCCAGAGGCGGCAGGTGGGTCCGGAAAGGCCCATAACTGGCGTGTGAACTCCTAGTGGAGGGATCTCTCCGGTGACCCGGTGGCCTCCGCCGGGGGACACAGACCTGCGTCTCCGCCTGTAACTCCGTCGCCCTCGGCCTCCCAGGTTGGACTCTGCACCGTGGGGGAGGGGCTGGGCCAGCGCTGTGAGAGCCGGTCATTCTCTTGACGACTTGGTGCTACCTTTCGTTTATGATTTATTTACTTATTTACACTCGTCCGTCCCGGTCACAAACAAACAACCCCACACGTTCACTGTTAGGAAAACTGGAAAATGCCAGACAACGCGACCCGGACGAGACGTGAGGCTTTTTGAAGGTGCGTCTTGTTTTAGGGTTTTGTTTTTTCCTACGCAGTGCTGGATCGCTAAATCGCATCGTCGCTTTCGACAACCACTGGACGCAGGGCTGTGCGAGTCTCCCCAGGTCAATGGACCAAGTGTTTCGAGCTGTGTTTGGGACTATGTTCACCTTTCACGCCAACAGATACTTCTTTTAATCGTAAGAGGGATGCATTAGCTCTAAAAATTTTGGAAAAGTCTTAACAAAGAAAATGTAGACGTGGGGGAGGAGGGAGTGTTGCAATCTGTGATACGATGTGTTTAAAAAAGAAAACCTATTTATTAATGGCAAATAGAACATATAAAGAAAAACAGAACTAACACTATCTTAAGAATTAAGCCACTGCAAATATTCCTCACGAATCTTCATAATCGGTATTTTAAAATTAGGTAACTATTTAAATACTTATCTAAATATATAAAATGTTTATACGTGTATCCGATTGTGCAGGTATAAATATACAAATAAATAATTTTATAAATAGAACGAGTATATAATTATTCATTATTATCGAATTAATGCTGTTAAAAATTGCCCGTGATAATTTGACCACCTGGAGATATATCGAGCTTTTTCCCATGGCTCTTTTTGGTGTTGACGTTATCTGTTCTCATGCACATATGCATATTTTTATAAAAGCGGAATCACACCATTAAATATCCTCCTTATGTGGGTTTCTCCAACGTTAAACAGAAATTTAGTCAGGGGAACACGAGCACACGTACACCTCTGAGTACCTGGTGGCTTATTCAATATCTCTGAAGTCTCGTACTGTAGCCTGAAAATCCATATGCAAAACACATCTGCGTGGAATAGGAAAATAATGTCTTTGCGACCATCGAAGTCATTTCATCGGCCGTCCCCAGGATGTGAGTGTAAGCGGAAGACATGCAAAGGTGATCTCGTGGCTCTCGCCCATCTGAAGCACTGGGTTACTGCCCCTTCCCTCATCTCCGAACTGCGTCCGCTCCAAGGAGGAAGGAAACCTTTCTGAGAATGGTTCACAGCAGTTCTGCTTATATCTCATTGGCCAAAAAGTCGTCATGTGGCCACACTTACCTGCAGGGGTAGCTGGAGAGTGCAGCCTTTTTAGTTAGGAAAAGAGGGAGAATGGATATTAGGGGGGCACCAGCCACCTCTGTCACAGAGAGCACCTGAGTGGATCTACTTGGCAATCCCCGACATGAGCATCCCTATCAGACAGAATTTTGTGCCAAGTCACTGGAGAAAAACGTCCCTCCCTTGCAGCCAGACTATACATGGCCGACGATGACTGACCCGCTCATTTGGGACCGAGATGGCAGAGCTGTTTCAATCAGCGCCCATGGCATGAATCGGAGCATTTAATACAAAGGAACTCTCGCAAGGCCCCTGCCCTTGGAAGGCATCTGCAGGCTTGGCACATCCGTCAGGCTTCAGAGACTCACACTTATTCCCTCAAGCAGATCCCGGAGCTGGCCCTGGCCCTGGCCTTGGCCCATCCCATCCTGGCCCCCCTGTCATTTGGAGCATCTTATCTGAGCAGCAGGCATCCTATGTCATCAGTCCATGGACACCTCTGAGCGGAGAAGTCTGACAGGTGTTGGGAAGTGACTCCCTCCAGAAAGACATGTCAGTAGTGGGTGTAGCCAGCCACGGCTCTCACCTGGGGGCAGGTGACAGCCTGGGGAACGGCAGTCCCACGGAGCCCCGAATCTCTTTCTGGAGCTGTCTTGTTTCGGTCTCAGCTCATCAATAGCAAATGTTACGGCGGTACCAGCCCTTGTAGTTCTTATTATGATTGTAAGATGACCTCAGCAAAAATCGCCAGAAAACCTTGAAAAAATAGAAGTTTATTACTGGCCCTGGAAGGAAATGACACAGAGCTCTTGGAGCGAGGGAGAAGAAGGGAAGGAGGGAGAGAGAGAGAGAGAGAGAGAGAGAGAGAGAGAGAGAGAGAGAACTTGTCACGCGA